GAATTTTCCCTCCAGGCAAGCGATGGGTATCCCACTGTTTGAACCATTTAGCACCTCGCCCTGGACAGAGGCTGGGAGAGTAGGCTAAGGGGAAAAATCAGCGCCAGCCGGCCAGGAGGACGTGACCCAATGAGGCTTCCCAGCGGCAAGGTCTTCCAGCTCGTGGTTCCTGGGCGCAGTCCACCCTGCCACCTGCTCCCCCACAGTCAAAGCAACCCCATAATAAGTATTGCTAGGCAACAGCAAAAATATACATTTGCTTTATCAAAATACTGCCCTCCCCTCCCCGGGGGGGTGCCTCTATCGAGCGGCTACTTGTCTGCTAGATGTTTTCTGTGCTGCTTGGATGAGGGCAGGGCCAGCTGCTGTCACCCAAACGTGGGGACAGTGGTGGGGGCGGGACATGTTTGTTGGACATGTTGTTTGTTGGACCATCCGTGCTCAATAAACAGGAGAACTCTGCTGGGAAATCATCTCAGACTCACCCTGGCTAGACGCCGTCCCTTTGTTACACTGACAGTTACACCATTGCCATCTCAATATAGACAGACACGTCGTCATCCTTGCAACCCCACTGGACCTTGGCGGGGGCCCCAGGAGTTAGGGCTCTCGTCCACCTTAACAGGATTGCGGGTCTCAGGGGACAAGATGGCAAGAGGTTGTTCCGACACCAGCACAACCAAGAGATTCCCATGGAGGCAGGTGGGAGAGTTGAGCACATGGACGTGGATATTTCCAGAACGAGAAGACCAGCCGCAGAGGATACATGGACTTGCAAGGTGCAGTGACTGTGCCCATAAAGCTTCAAGGCCTTCTAGTCCAATGTAAAGAGAGAGCAAAGCTGGGAGAGGACATGCAGAGGGAAGGCCACTGCTGGGCACCTGGTCCCCATGCCTCCCACTGGCCCTGGATCAGGGATGAGGAAACTGAGCCACAGCCAAGAGGTATTGAAAGGCCGATGACAGCAGCTGTCCATCTCGAGACTGTGAAAATGTCGCATGTTGGGTCAGGGGTGGGTGGGCAAGGGAAGTTCTGGTTGTCAACCCCAAAGGGTGACTATGAAGCGGATCCTTTGGAAACCAGAGATACTCGCTTTCTAAACTAGCCTGGATGTGGACATCCCTCACTGCCCACCCCCCCATAAAGCCTGGGAATGGGGAGTTCCAAGCCCACTTCCTTGCCTCGGTCATTCTGCTTTCTAGGTCACTCCAGACATCCCCACAAAACACCCGGGGTTCCCTGGCATGGAGGACCAAGAGGACAAGGTGACGGTTCTATTCCACATGGGGAAATGAAGCCCCCACCTCTATGGGGCTGCTTTTGCTTGGGGCCGGGCCACGATGTGCTTGGGAGGGCTTCCATAACTGCCAGTGTGCTTGGCTTTTCCATCGGCCCAGCTGCTTATCGGGCAAAAACTTCCGTGGCCTTGTCCCCTCCCCCCACCTGCTGCCTCCTCCGGCCCCGTGGCATTTCTGAATTCCTGGGCGATGCCCCCCAACGCCGGCTTCCCCGCAGCGTGTGCTCTAATGCTCAGCTAATAGCTCCATCTCAGGCGCTCGTCCACACGCATCCTATAAATCAGAATCCAATTATGGTGGTAAGAAAATTGGAAGCAAATTTAATAAGCTCAGGCCACTCCCCCATGCTGTTTCTTTGCTCTTCTCTTCCCAGTAATGAGAATTCCTTTCACGGACTCCATTCTCCTGCCTCCTCATCTGTAGCCCCCAAGGATGGAAGGAGAGGAGGCTGGGGGCTGCTTCTCTGTCCTCTTTCCCTCTTTGCACAGAAGACAGATGGGGCAAAGTAGTCAAGTGTCTTTGCAGATTTCCTCTCCCTCTCCTTTGTTCAACAAGTGTTTCTTGGAATTCTATCACCTGCCAGGCACTGTACTGGAAGCCAGCAAAGATGTCTCCCCCTAGAGGGTGGAAGGCCTCATTCTGTTGCTGGGGTTATTGATGCTTCAGTCTTTGATGTAAGCAGTGGGGCTGGCTCTGCAGCAGGGGTTCAGTCTCCCTGCCACTCTGCCCCTCCGGTGACAGCTGGCCATGTCACATGGTGGGGGGTGCTACTGGCATCTGGTGGGTGGAGCCCAGAGAGGCTGCCCAGCATCCTACAATGCACAGCACAGCCCTCGCAGCAAATGCCAGCCACTGATTGAATCCCTGGGCGATGGGAGACGGGTCACCAGCAGCCACAGCTGGTTAGAGCAGGGACGGGCAGGCCCCAAGAAGGGTCCCAGTGTTCTGGCAGTCCAGGCAGGCCGGCCCCAGGCATTACCTCAGGATGAAGTCAGGATACAGGAAGGCTGGTGTCACAGGATTAAGGGATTTAGCTGGTGGTTTTAACTTCACTGACACCAATTCCCTGGGAATCAAGGGCTGGAAGAATGAGATCCTGTAGACAGAAAGTCAATCCCCGGGGGCAGGGGGTGCCCATCTAAGGGAAGCACCCTAGGCTTTGTTGGCAGTCTCTGGAACTCTCTTTCGCACAAGAGTGGTCTGGGCACAAAGTCAGCCCCGTACCACACTCAGCCTAGAGATGGCTGATGCCATTACACTAGCCTGGGACTTTGTACACAGTCGGCGCTCAACAGCCCCGCCATGGCTGCCTGGTCCCATGTGCCTGCCCTCATTCCCACTCCCCTGTCCTCTCCTCTCTCTGCTTTTTTGGATCAGGATGCCCAGATCTGAAATTCCCCAAGTCACACAATCCCCACTCCCACAGGGCAAGGTGAGTGCCCGGAGGCAGACATATGGCTGACAGACTTTTCCTCTTTGTCTTCCCCAAAGGGGCCCTCGATTCCATCTGAATCCTGTCCGTCCCTCTTGCCACCCTGCCAGCAGAACACACTTACCTGACAGATACAACACACCGGGAGAGAACCCCGAACGGGACCCGGTAAACCGGAATCCTGGCAGACGGTCTCAGTTCCTCCCCCACATCCCGCACCTATGTCCAGTCCTCTTAAACCACTTTCATTTCTGCCTCTCAGATCACAGGTGAGGGTAAACACAGAAATTCGTCCTGCTCAGGGTGTCCCCTGGAACCTGCCTGCTCAGTGAACCCCCCACTCCATGCCTCCCTTCTACAGAGCTCGTGTCCCGATGTACCGGCTCCTTTCCTGGCTGGAAGGCGGCCCTTCGTCCTTCTAGAGCGTCTCATCACCCTGTCCAGGACTCAGGACAAGGGAGGGACCAGCCACCTAAGATAGGGGGACTTTTCAGCCTTCTTCTCCATTCTACCTGTAGTCTCTGCTCAGGGAATAAAATTACTTAATCCTTTTTAAAAGATTTTATTTATTTATTTGAGAGAAAGTGCACAAGCAGGAGGGCAGGGGCAGAGGGAGAGGGAGAAGCAAACTCTCTGCTGAGCAGGGATCCTGACACAGGGCTTGATCCCAGGACCCCAAGATCATGACCTGAGCCGAAGGCAGATACTTAACCAACTGAGCCACCCAGCTGCCCCCAGGTTACCTAAGTTTTAAAGAAAATTCTATCAGATGCCAAGGGCCATGATAAGGGCTGCGGAATTCTGACAGCAATATTCCAAGACTCTGACTTGAAGAAGCTTTCAGGCCAGCAGCCAAGAATGTTCGAGGTAGAGCCAGTGCCCCAGATCTCTGGCTGTGGGGCATTTCCTGCTGCTAAGGAGACTCTCGTGGGTACCTTGAGGCAGTGGGGAGGGGTAGTTCAGTTTGCAGACTCTTGGAGTCTTCTGAAGACTTCTAAAGCCACAGATACCTTATGGCTCAGGGCCCTATGAGGGGATCGGGGCTCTGGCTCCTTTTATGAATGATGGTGATTGACAGGAGCCCCTCCATGAGATGCATATTATGTAAGTCAAGGTCTCTGGGTTGTACAGCCTAGCTAGGGAAACTGAGTCCACCCCCCTTCACAGACTACAACTTAAGCACCACCAGATTGACCGGCATCCTAAGTCATGAAAACTTTTACTGTCCTGCTCATAAACCCCAGTGTCCACAAGAGGGTCCCCACAGACCCAAACAAAGACAGAAAGCTGAGAAGCTGATCCCAGTCCGCCAGCCTCTCAGTTTAACCACTCCTCCAAGCCCCTCCACCCCGAACATGCCTGTCTGCTCTTTGGAGCTGGTGCCAAGTGCATTTCCCATGGGAGATAGAAACACGGCCCTGGGGGCCTTTGGTGCAGCTGGTCCTCCCTGTTGTAGGCAGGGAGGCCAGCACGGAGGGGCTGGGGTAGAGATGGACCAGCTTAGTCGGGCCTCATGAGGAAGCAAAGGACTGTATTGACTCTAGGAGAGACAGGTAATGAGGTAACTGGCCTTCACAAAGGCTCTTTCCCCTGAGAAATGAAGCTTCTGCATTGTGTCAGGCCTGACCTCCTGCGGAGGAGACGGCAGAACAGAGGCTGGGGAACAGGGCGCCCCACAGCAGACAGCAGGGGCATGTGAAGAAGCCCCGCATCTCGCATGATGAAACTGGGCTGTCCGAGGAAATGACCCATCCCAGTGACAGACGGAGCCACCGACCTGACTTCCCAGGGGTCCGCCGGTCTTGCCTTCCCTCCTTTTGAAAGCCGTGCCAGGCCAGGCCATGGGAATCTGGCAAGGAAACCAGGCCCAGGCTATAGGATCTCTAGTGCTCCATGATTTCGGGGTGGACACTGGGCGAGGGGGGCAAAGTGCAGGCGAAGGGGCTTCTTCCATTTCCCCTGGAGGCACCTGGGGGGTGGCTCACAGCAGTGAGGAGCGCAGAGAGCATTAACTACTGTCCGTCCGGCAACAGACGCGTATGCCTGCCCCGATCCTTGGCCTAGGCACCCCCAATCCAGCCTGCAGATGTTACGTGCCTGCCGCAATCCTTGGCCCGGGTCCCCCCAACCCCGAGTCCAGCCTGCAGATTGCGTATGCCTGCCCCGATCTGTGGCACAGCCGGCCCCCATCCCCCGAATCCAGCCTGCCCTTGCTCTGTCATCACCACCGGGTAGGATAGAGAGTAACAAGTGGGAGTAGGGGGAGGTACCTCAGATGGCGGGTGTCAGGCACAGCCCGGCTGCTGGAGATCCGCTCGCTCTCCCGCTGGTTGAAAGCATACAGCTTATAGGGATCATCACCCACACGCCACTTTTTGGCATTCAGATACTGCCGCTCATCAAACTGGTCCCATGGGTCTTCCCAGTCAGAGTCCAAAGTCTGCGGAGCACAAATGCGAAGTCAGTGAGAAGAGCTCCCAGCCCTCCCCCAGCCCTCTCTGCCTGTTGCTGCCCAGCTGCAGAGAACAGGTTTTCCCCAGCACAGTTTAGCCCAAGGATGGGGCCAGAGGTAGGAGGTCAATGAAATCTCAGTAACGATAATAACACACAGCGCGACGCGGTGAAGGCAGCTGCCGTTTGCTGAGCGCTGTGCACGAGGCACTGTGCTAGAACCGTTACTCATTCCCCCTGGCTGTCCCAGGATGTGGTCCCAGGACCAACACAAGAGAACAGCCTCCATGGGCTAAGTACCTTGCTCAGGATCCCACCTGCAGGAAGGTGGCAGGGCTGGGACTTGGGTTCTAGCACCCTGAGCCCGCAGGCCGCCTTGCCAGGGTAATCTGAGAACACTTGGCTGAAAAGCACTGGCACGGGAGCAGGTACAAAAGGGCTAGGACCGTCATCCCCCCTCTGCCATAGGACGCAGGCGATCCATATGTAAGAGAGTGCTTCCCACCGGATGGATGCCTGCGTGCTCCCCTCTTCCTCTGACCCGACCCAGGAATCTGTGATTTTTTTTTTAGATTATTTATTTATTTGAGAGAGAAAGAGCATGCGGAGGGAAGGCCAGAGGGAGAGAGAGAACCCCAAGCAGACTCTGTGCTGAGTGCGGGATCCCATAGGGGGCTCCCTCCCTGAGATCAGGGCCTGAGCCAAAATCAAGAGTTGGACTCTGAACCGACTGAGCCATGCAGGCATCCCTAAAGCTGGGATCATTTTTAAGAAACATCAGTGCAGGAACAGTGCTTTAGAAATAGGTACGAGGTAGCTTGTGTACTCATGATCTTGTTCCGTCCTCCCCAGACGTCTGCTCTGTGCTGAGCTGGAAAGACAAGTTCTCACCAAACTTCCGGGCTTGTCTGCACAGGTGGGGCAAGGGTCGAGCCAAAAGCAGAGCTCAGCCTCCTGGGCCCACCGGTGCCTTCGCACAGCAGAGAAGGCAAGGGGATGCACACAGCGAGGGGGAGGCTCAAGCCCAGAGCTAGGCTGCCTTGGCTGCCCCGACTGCGCCAGCTCTTGGCTTCGGAGCCTCTGCACGCTGGCGGCTTCCTTTAATGGTCCCTGCCAGGGGAGGCTGGCACTCTGGGGAGAACCCACTGACCAGGTTCTGCTCTAGAATGTGAGGGCTGGGGCCCTGGGGCTAGCAATGTCCCCAAGGATGGGATGCTCACTCGTGTGTTACTGGCCTCTGGTTGCGGTGCAAATGTGAGAAGCTGCCTGGACCCCGTCCCTCCTGTCGCTGACCAGGAAGCCCTCCTGGACACATGGAACCTGATGGAAAGGCTCAGGGCAGGCCCCGCAGATGGCCGGCCAGGTGCCCCTCCACCCCAGAAGATGGTTCTGTGGGGTGGTTCACGATGTGCACATTTATCTCACACACCACTCGATCTTATCTGGTAATTGATCTGCCTCTCTCTCTCTCTGCTATCTCCTTTTGAAACAGCAGTCTCCTGCTAATAGCACAAAATGAAGCTTTGGAAAGCAGCGATTTTTACCCAATAATTGATTTTATGAATGTGCTGGGATACTGCTGCTACACAGGGGGTAGATGGAGTGTGAGACCCCCCCCAACACACCCCACCCAGTCTGAGCTGTGCAATGTCACAGCCTGACAGCTGTCACCCTTGAAATCATGGGACCCGGTACCGTTCCCCACTGGCTCGTTTCCAGTTAGATTCACTGCAAGTCTCTCAGTCAGTGGTGAGCTCCTCCAACGCTCTGTGCTATGGAGGGGAGATGCAGAGATGGAAGGTCCCAGCCCTCGAGGGTTTGCAAGGTTTCAGAGAGACATGCATGAAGACTCCTTTACTGCTTCTACCAGAGGAGTGAGGGAGAGGGCTGCCTGGAAGAAGCGTCAAATCAGTTTGTGCTTGAAAGATGAGCAGGCAGTTTGCTTTCCTTAGGAGGATGTGAGAGGGAAAATACATGTGTAGTGAAAACCCAGATAAAGGGCAGGAAGACCTGGGGAAGGGAGAATCTGTGGAGGACACGGCTAGCTCAGGAATGGGGCGGCCAGAATGTGGACGACAAAGAGCGCGTGAGTGAAAGCGAGCTCTGCAACACAGCTGGGTCTGTATGAAGCCGGTTGGGGGAAGGGCCTCTGGCCACAGGTGCTGGACGAAGTGGAGGGAAGAGATTGCCGCAAGGAGCCCAGCTGGGAGGGGAGCTCAGGAATTGAGGCTGGTAGAAAGGGAGGGCTGAACAGTGGCGGTGCTGGGGCACTGACAGAAGGTTCCAGGCATCAGCTGGAGAAGCAGATGGAGGAGCAGGCCCCGGGGACGGGCTGGAGAAAGGGCAGGTAGAGACCTCTTGGCCTCGTCCCCTACTCTTTATTCACACCAGACCCGGCTCAAGGCCAGCAATCACCATCCTACAGGCAGCAAACCATTCCTGGAAGATTCTGCCTCTTTGGCGAGGGGGGCATGGGAACTCAGCTGTGATTCTGGACCCCAGAAAGCCCAGAACCAGAGTAACAGCCTGGCTGGTGAGGAAAACTGAACAATCACTCAAAACTTCCCCGGAGGGGACCGCTCCTTCCAATGGTCATGTGCACAGAGCAGGTTCACACTTCACTGCACTGAGATCCACTGTGGGGGGGGGGGGGACTCCCTGGCCTGGGAGCTTGGTTTTCCTACAACAATATCTGGATGTATTAAATAATAGTGACACTGTGTTTAAAATCCTAACATTACCATCTGAATAATAATTTCTGTTTTACAAGGCAGCCCACACATACTGCCTCAGAATGCACACACAACCCCATCTGTACAGAGAGGGATCAGCAGGGAGAGAGGCTAGCTGGCTGGCTTGCCCAAGCTTCATGGCTAGAAAGTGAAGGGACTGCTGATTGAAGCCTTCCTCAACCTCCCAATGCCTTGGTCTGCTCTACCACGGAAACCAATCGGGGGCATTTCCTCTGCGGAGAGCCAGTGGAGAGGAGCGAGGTGGGGGCCATGCCCACGGGAAGGACCAGCCCCTCTTCCCCTGCTGGTCCGCAGAGGGAAGTGGCTGTGGCCCTCCCAGGATTTCTAAAGGGCCCCAGACTCCCCCAAGTACTTCTAGTACTAATTTGGAGTTGGCTTCCCAGCTCTTCAATTCACAAGGCCCCATATTCAGGCTCTGAGGACCCGGAGGGCGGCACATGGTACCCACGCTTTGGATTCCTTGCTTCCTGGCTCCTGTGACCCCCCCGCCCCGGGGCACTGCTTGGACCCACACATGCACCTTCGCAAACTTTGCTGTTATAGGAAGTGATAATACGGCTCTCTCCCACCAGGAACCCCACCAAGGTCCCGCCCCCGGGCTCTGACCCCTCTTGTGGGGCCCCCACCACCACCCACGACCCACAGGCAAAATCTTCCTTGCCTCTCTGACCAGAATTTACTCAATCTAGAGTATGTGTGTTTCCAGCTGTAAGTATGATGTCACGCATAGAAAACCAAGATGATCTTTTCAGCAGAATGTATCTGATTACGTCCCCCAAAGCCCGGCTTAAATAACTGGGCACCAAAAATGAACATGCAGAAGCACATCTAAGCGGCTTTGTTTCTTTCCTCCCACTGTACTTTCAGGAGACGCCCTGAGTCCCCTTTCCTCCGACCTTCCCTGGCCTGTTGCTCTCATTTCTCGTGCAGGCTGATTATTTGGCTCCAGCGCTATTAGAACTGATTATGGGGCTCTCTATGATTTTAATATGTTTGTCTCCCTCTCTTCTTTCCCCCAGCTACTAGTTCTCTCATTGCCTTAGGTCTTTTCTTCCCCACCCCCTGCCATTAGAATGAGAATGTCTCTATCACTTGAAGAAACTTCTATCCTTCTCTGAACTGTGCTGGTCCTTAATAAAACTTCTCAAACTTACCCTATGATAAAACAACTAACACTCTGGGGGTACCTATCACATGTCATAAACATTTACATCTAATCCTCACAATCACAGATGCTGATTTTACCATTCCCATTTTACAACTGGGGAAACCAAGGCAGAGAGTGATCAGGTGACTTGGCCAATGTCACACAGGTAGTACGCGCTTGAGCCAGAGTTTGAACCCATGGAGCCTGGCTCTACTGCAATGCTCCCGACCACGAGGTGACACTGCCTTCCCAGAGCCTCCCTGCCATTTCCTTTGGCCTTCTTCAAAGACTATCTGTGTGTTTCCCATTATTTTTCTCAGCCAACTTATTTCTCTGATTGGGATCTCCCCCTTCAGAGGATCTCTGTGTCTCCTTCACCATCCCCCCACTAGTCCACCACTCTTCTTCCTGGGTGGAAGACTGGTCTCCCCCAGCCAGGGCAGAAAGGATGCAACTCCACAGGCAGATTCCTGCAGGAAGGTTAAAAGATTTCAGGCTAATACACAGGAGGTCAGAACTGAAAACAGTGATAGAGCTTATTTAAAGATGACAGAATTCATCTATCCATCCAATATTTGACACTCCACCATAACGTTCCACTGTCCAGTGGACATCCCTCCTGGGTCCAGCCAGGGACACAGAGGTCCCAAGGAACCCACTCCAAGCTTCAAAGTCCTGCGACTTCTAGAAGTTTCCTTCTAATATTAAACCAGAACCTGTCTCCTGCCAGAAGCAAATGTAAATCCTATCTGGAGAAAACTATCTCCAATTTACATCCTCAGGAGTTCCACAAAGCTCAGTGAAAGTCGAAATCACAATAAAAATGATCAGGGGCATTTGGCTGGCTCAGTCAGTTGAGCGTCTGACTCTTGATTTTGGCTCAGATCTGATCTCAGGGTCCTGAACTCAGGGTTGTGAGAATGAGCCCGTGTTGGGCTCTTTACCCAGCACTAGTCTACTTGTGTTTCTCTCTCCCTCTCCTCCTCTGCCCCTCCCCACTGCACTCATTCTCTTGCTTTCCAAAATAAGTGAAATAAGACCTTTTTTTCAGTGGAAACTATAAACAACAGATTAGATCTTCCAAAGACT